ATATATATAAAATGTAGTTGCTAATATTCGTTCAAATCAACGAGTAAAATTCAAAGCGCACATATGTAAAAATAACCAATCACGGATGCATGACTTTCATATAGATATCCATCCCATAAACAGAGACGGGTTTTGAAGAAAGGAGAGAGTCGTTCCTAGGAAGCCCTCAAATCTTTAACTACCATCTGTGTACGCGCCTAGGCGTCACGGCAATTAAGCTGAAGATCGCTACGTTAGGGAGATCTGTGGAAACGAATGTTTATTGCAAAAAAAGCTTTAGCAGCCTAATTAGTGTAAGGAGCTCTGTCCTAGACCACTATGCACATGGCCACTGTCTTTAGGTGGTAGAATTGAGATATTAGACTTAATTTCCATGTAAACCTTCTCCTGCTATCAGATTGCAGCGAAATTAATATTAAACAGTACTTTTATTACAAGTCAAAAAAGCAGCGGTTATATATTCAATCAAAAACTAACTCAGCTTCGTACTTGATATCAAATGGAGCCACTCCAAAAATCACAGAGTGTGTGGACCTTTAACATGACGTTCAGGGTAAAGGATTTGTGCAATAAATGACTGTTTATCATAATTATGGAATACATAAAGAAAAGATATTTGCTGAAGTTGATCAGTTCAATTCAAATGAGCGATTCATTTTCGCAGCTTTGTCCAGCAAGAGTGGTGAGGTTATATTATATTGCATACAAAAGGAAAAAAATAAAGGCAGCAACGGCAAAATGTGATTGAAAGCCTAGGACAGAGTACAATAGCATTCAAAGAAAGCTAATAAAAGCGGTCTAATAAAACCTATTCCAAACGACGAAAGGTATTCATACTCTCCGTTAGTAAGCTTAGCCAGAGCAAGTCGCTTGATTGTATTGCCCTTCATCTCATCTAGTAGAATGCGTGTTTACTGAATCATTTTTCCCTTCTGGAATTTGATAGACTGCAGTTGTAACTTAGCAAGCCAACTTTAAAAAAGAAATTAAGATTTAAGTGTTTGTAAGAAATGTTTAAACCTACAAAAAAGGAAAAATTGCCGCGAAAATTTCCCTAAGAGGAGTATGCGTACAACAACAATCTTAAACAACTGTAAGGAAAAATATGCAAAGAAAAAGAACGACTAGCTTTCTGGTGCAGTTGTCTACAACCCCGTTAATGTAAAATTGTCGAATCATTCCGCATGATTTATAACAGCGACTACTTAAATTTTTGAGGTATTTGCAAAACTCCGAACCGCAGGTGTATGCGGTGGGGAACGAACGCGCTATTGTCCTTTCCGGTGAGTAGCGCACTTCACCACCACACCATCCGGGTCTTTCGTTTTGCCTGTCTCTCAGCTAGCTCTATTGATCTTTTACCATCAGCAATCACCCGTCAACAGGATTGATTTGGAGAGCCCAAATGGGCATTGAACCTAGTTAAGCTGAGGCTTAGTTATAATCACAATCTTAACTCTTTTATTTACTGCCTATTCTTTTTAATGGCAGGGTATGTTGCGAAATATAACTCGTATATAATGCTGAGATATTAAAACTAGCTGAGAGACAAGCAAAACGAAAGACCCCGATGGTGTGGTGTAGTGGTAAAGTGCGCTACTCCCCGGAAAGGATAATAGCGCGCGTTCGTTCCCCACCGCATACACCTGCGGTTCGGAGTTTTGCAAATCTCTCAGCATTATATACGAGTTATATTTCGCAACATACCCTGCCATTTAAAAAAAAGGCAGCAAATAAGAGGGCTAAGATTAAGTTTTTGGTTTTGATTTGCAATTTATAAATTGGATTGAATAGAATCGTTTAGTACTACCAACAAAGCAAAGTTATTAAGCAAACGAATGAAGATAAATCCCACACTACCGTAATGCAATAAGGCGCTCTGAATAAAAGTGTTCTCTATCCTTTTCGTTTGTTTCTCTAAGATAGCATAATTAGTACAGCACACCAAGGAACTAACAGCGCAGTGCTAGTGATGCTGCCAGTCACGAACAAGGAACTGGTTCAACTCGGCCCTTGGTTGACCAAGCTTCTCATTCCTCTCATTCCTACAACATTTTAAAGTAGATACGAGGTGTTCGTTTTTAACTCGCGCCCTCATATCAATGTAAGAACACTATAGCAGAGATATCCCAGAATTCAATGGAGAAACGATTTGACCAGCACTCAACGATGATTATGAAAACGATAACGATAGTCAAAAAGTAGACGAACCCGCACATGAAAAGGTTGAAAACCTTGCTGAAAGGTTCGTAATTGTCCGCGATAAAATCATGGATCGGGGTATTCAAGATTTCAAGGCTGTGGTGCAGAATGAAAACGTCATCACTCCAGTAGGCTTTTCTTACCGTGATGATGAACTCTACATTTTCAATTGAAAGGTACACCAATGAGAAAGCTTCTGCAAGAAATCTCAGTCATAGCAGTACCAACCATGGCGACAACCCTTTTTCTAGTCCACAACTTCAAGCGACTTAAATGACATTGTAAAAGAACAATCGAGTCTTTTACCAGAATTTATTGACAAATAACACCGATATCTTCTAATTCCTTTGTTTGTAGGAAAAAAATAAATAACTTTCACTCAAGTCGCCCATTTTAGGGAAGGGAGTTTAGGAGGTCGTGGGCACTGAAGAGACTCATGTAGTAATCCGGAATAATCTTCTCCATTGCTTTTTCGGGGACTGTAGATCTTCCGTCTGGTCTGAGCGCCAGAATGCAAATATACATAACGATGAATGCAAATAAATAGAAATGAAAAACTCTTAAACGGTCTCTCGATGGTGGAAAGTGGAAAAAGTCATTTAAGGTTTTTTTGTCATTAGAAAGCAAAGGCTATAAAGGATAAAAGATAAAGCTCTTGGCATTGTTCAATCTCTGAGGTATGCACCATGCGTGCGACTTCATGAAGCATCGTTGGAGGTCATTGAATGCATATCTGGCCCATACAATAACTCGCGGTGGCCCACCCATGTATCGAGCCAGTGCTGTATTCTACCAGACATGTCTGATACCAATTTGCCGACCCCGGAGGGATGGAAGGCTTGGTGGGCCATGGGCGCGGGGATCGATTCTGCGTGTGTATCGCAGTGGTGTCTCCAACCACAGCGCCACACGCCCCCTGAAGGCGACAATATAGAAGAAAATTCATTTCACAAAGTTGCATAACGTAGTGACAGAGCAGCAGCAGAGTACATGTCATTCTTCAGATTAATGACGAATTCGAACTTAATAGGTTATAAACCGCAACAGTGAGATTTCGAAATCTTACTATATTAGTATTAGTATATATATATATATAAGTAATCTTCCGTAAAAGATAGATATTATCAAAAGTTTTCGCTATTAACGAACTGGGAGGAACTTTAGATTCGTTATGGCTCTTGAAGTGCAAATTTTTTCCAGGTTTCGTTTTGTCCACTGATATCGAAAATAAAGCCGTTAGCTCCCGCAGAAATCAGTTGATCCCCATTTACATATGCCCGATTATAAATGCTTCTGTCGGCTTAAAAACACCTATCTCAGCTCAGGGTGCGTGTGGTGCAGTGGTTGGAGGCGCCACTGCGACACACACATAGAATCGATCTCCGCACCCATGGTCTACCAAGCCTTCCATCCCTCCGGGGTCGGGGTATTGTAGCAGAGTTATTTGGGAAGATAGCAGCACTGGCTCGATGCATCGGTGGGCCACTGCAGGTGATTGTAAAGACCAGATATGCATTAAAGCACCTCCAACGATAGTTAATGAAGTCGAACGCATGGCGCATCCCTCAGAGATTGATAAATGGGGGCTTTATTCTTTTTATCCTTTTTATTTCAGCTTGCAAAAAACTTTATAAATCAAAGGTAAGACCATACCAACTTGTTTCCACATTGTAACTGGAAATTCAGGATTTATGTTGTCAGAACTCGTAGTTCATTTTTTCTGTTTCTCCCCAAAGCTTTTCTTTCAACAAATAAATAATTGAACGGCATTTCCCCCGGAACGACGCCTATGATGCGTACAATTTCTTCAGCTTATGTTTCTAGCCGTTACTGTTGGATTAGAAATTTGTCAAGCTCTGTTTCCTGTTCACGATTAAGACTTTTGTCTTCAAGCTTCCGTTCCAGTGCTAGAAAAAAGTTCCGTGTATAAGCCTATCAAGTTATTTAACTGTCAGTTTTTCTAACTATAGAAAGGAATAACGAGATGTCCCAGATTATGGTTATAGGTAGCCTGCGATACACAGGTGGTCTTTGGCTCTATCCCGTGCTGCGAGTTTTAGAAACCTTCCACCGCTCCAAAATCAGAACACTGGTGCCAAAACTTGTCTAGACAGATAGCAGCACTGAGTTGATAGATCGGTAAGTCATAGAAGGTTATTGTAAAGAACAGATATGCATTCAGTCACTTCTAGCCATGCTAATGATGTCTAATGCAAAGCACATCCTTCAGGAAAGGACCAACGCCGAAAGACATACTCTATTTCCAGAAAAGAATAAAATAAATAGAAAAAGATAAGAGAAAACTTCCGATATTTCTCAAAAACCGGCCTTAAATTTATTATTATAAGAATTTATTATGAGAACCAAGAATGTATGAGGTACAACTGCTTTAGAAGTGATTCAGTTGCGAGCTAATTTCTAGTGAGAGTATTTCACTACGATTAGAGGGACAAAAAACACTTAACAACATACATGCAGTCAGGACATAAAGGGATGAAACTCATTCTGAAAAAAAAATTAGCGCGCGAATAAAAAATGACTACAGAAATAGAATGAGGATAACCATTTCTAAGCATGTCCTTCTACTCTTCATCTTTTAAAATCATATTCTGTTGAAGTCTTGTTACAAAGAGTGCCACCCAAGCAGCTGTTATTGCACGTGCTGCACGATGCTCCTTCCGTGTAGATTGTTTTGTTGATACGAATATGCCTGAAGTTATACAGAAATCAAGCTTTACCAAAAAGTCCGTTTGATTGAGCGACTTACGTATCTCCGTATCGACAAACAAATAACACGAAAGCCGAAGAGTTGTATGGATCGGACGAATTGCATATGTTGTATGCGCATCCCAGTTTCGTCGTGTTAGCGTTCGCCATCTGGAAGCCACTTTCAAGGCATTTAAAAATATTTTCTTCTTCATTTTTAGAAACCAATGAGAATGAATAAAAAGCGCTAAGTGTAGGCCTATAGACAACTAACGGGACCAGTGGAAGGCCAACCGCATAGCTCCGATGTTCAGAAATTGGTGTACGATTGTACAGAATATGGTACGACCAACTCTCCTTCGTTCTATGAACCGAAGTAAAGCATTATCACAAACAACCTGGAGAAATGGAATTATTCCGCTGTCGCTCGCCGTTGGCGTAAGATTGACAAGAGGGCCATACTCTAGTGATGTGTTCCACCACTCCATCATGAACTAAAAGTGCAAAAGTTACATGGCTGCGCATTTAGTTAACCAGTCCATCTATTTTTCGCTAGGAACACTACTATCTAAAAGTTAAGCGACAGCTTCTACTCCTACTCTTATTATCCTAAAGTAGTCACTGATGTCGTCACGAAAGTAATCCCATTTATTATGGTCGAATGTGGCTCGTGACAGGAAGTAGGTGGCATTATTACTGCCGACGAAGGAGAAATTAGGCACAGTTTGATTCTGACACATCTGGGAAATGTTGAAAGCAGATTCCTCCAATTTGCAGTTATATTCCTATAAAAAAGGCAAACTAAAATGCAAAATTGTATTCAAAGACGATTAACATGGTGAATTCACCGTAAATACTTCTCACCATGAGACTCATGTCACCAGCACTTGGAAAATTTCTAGCTCTACTGCCATTGCCATTTTTCTGTGTTCTATTCACAAGTAAACCTCTGAAAAAGAGTACCATTGCAGGCAACATTCATAGGCATATAGGCAACATTCAGTGGTAGGGGCAATCATCCCCAGCTAATAATGACAGAAAGCTGAACATACCTCAGAGTGTTGTGTAAGCTTGTAACTGTTAATCTCAACATTTTGTCCATTTTTGAGTTAGTACCGCACTCTTCTATGTCATCTGCAAACTAGAGACTGTGTAACGCGGGAAACTGAGTTACGAAACTAATTTTAAAAAGGATATGAAATGAAAAAGGAACAGTGACCTGAAACGTAGTCGAACTGAGAGCTGAATTTGAATCCCTGAAAAAGTTCAATGGACATCTTTTGGGTTAGTGTTAACACGTTCTTGACGAGTCGAAACATTGTTAAACGTACCGTGATGAGAATGAGAGCAATGCCAAAAGTGTTCATTGTCATCGAATAGCTGTTCACTGGGATCGTGCACTTTTATATGAACTTGCCGAATGCTTTCTACAGTTTTTGAACCCTGTGTAATCGATTCTCATTTGGAAACCGACGAAAACGTCACATGTTCGGCACCATATCCACATAAAGGATAAAAAAAGGATAAAGCGCGCTGATCAAACCCTGGGAATGCGCCATCGATTCGACTTCGTTAAGTATCGTTGGAGGTGATTGAATGCATATCTGGCCTTTACGATGACTCGCGGTGGCCTTCCGATGTATGGAGCCAGTGCTGCTATCCTCCTAGGCAAGACTGGTGCCAATTTGCCGACCCCCGTGGGATGGAAGACTTGATGAGCCATGGGCGCGGAAACCCTCCAACCACTGCGCCACACGCACCCCTCATATCCACACAGGAATAAACATTTGGTGAAAGCACATAACCTGAAGGCTACTGAGAAATAGAACGGCATTCTCAAGTAGCACTTAAGTAAAATCTCAAACTTGAACGGGTAATTTTAGCTAATAATCGTGCTGAAACCAGCGCAGTTACCAATTGAGTGATTTTTGATGGGTAAGATAACGTTTTTATCTTGAAGCTCGAAATATCCGTAAGGTGGTATTCTGAGATTGTTACTAAGTCGTTAACCCTCACGAATCAGAGATAGGTTCGTTTCTTTGCTATTCGTTGTTTTCTACGACGACAGTGATTCTCGACATTCGTGAATGTGTTTCCGAATGACAACTGTTTTCTCAGTTGAGTGCCTTCATCCGTGGATAAATCATTACTGCGTATTGTCGTTCGGGAGTCAGGCATCTCCTTGTCAACGCGAGGTACTGAACCACTTATGAGTGCTTAACATCAAGCTAGGCTGTCTGTTCCTTTGAAAACAGTTGTAGAAGATATATTTATTTATGTGATCTTATAAACTGATCTTCTTAAGCTGACGCGAGGTTGGTACAGATCTTCGTTGTCGTTGTCTTTGTTTTTGATGCTATTGATCGATGGCTGACGATTCGGCGACTTCGCCTTCCTCAGAGCCTGGACGTACTTTATGTTAGAATACTTTTTATTATTCGGTGGAAAAGAAGGTTAAAGTATTAATGAAGATCAAACTTTCAAATAGACGCCATATTGAACAGAAACCCACTCACCGTGATGTTACGTGCGGGACTGTCCCACACGTAGTTCACGTGGAGTTGCGAGCAAGACACGCCCCGAGGTCAAAATATCATTTTGAAACAGGGTGCCAGGTCACGCGTGATAATGAGGCATTCGTCCTTCCGGTTCATCATTGGATCTTTAAAATTTATCCAAAACGCCTCAAGAGTTTTGCGCGTTGATGTTTTCGATTCCTGCGCTAGGATCCACACATTCACTTCAAAATCATCGCCGTTGTGCTTTTGTGCCCTATGCGTACCTAGAGGGGTGTTTAAACGGATTTTAGCTTTCCCATCTAGATGTTCTTTTATGCGGACATAAAGTGGTCTACCCGTTTCCCCGATTTCCCTCGCCGCATGCATTACATGAGATCAAGTATATTATACCTAAACTCATGCAATCCCCGTCTCTCCCGTTAGGACAGATCATACAGTTTTCTGAGCTGCACAAACGATCATAGAGACGGTTTCGAACTAACTGGCGGCGTAGGGTGTTGGGTGGGATGTCAACAATCGTTACATAATTTTCAAGACCACTTTTTCTTAAGCACCTTTTAATGGCGTGACTTACTTCATTTGATATGAAGGGCAGCTTAAAGGGGATCCTACTTTCGTCTGAAATATTATTTTGGGAAACTACCCAACGTTTTTCTCTGACCCGAGTCGCTCCTACTTCGTAGCCATTGGAAATGGCAATTTTTCGTGCCAGGTTTCGCGATTCCTTCCTTTCCTCTTCTCCTGTGCACANCATTGGATCTTTAAAATTTATCCAAAACGCCTCAAGAGTTTTGCGCGTTGATGTTTTCGATTCCTGCGCTAGGATCCACACATTCACTTCAAAATCATCGCCGTTGTGCTTTTGTGCCCTATGCGTACCTAGAGGGGTGTTTAAACGGATTTTAGCTTTCCCATCTAGATGTTCTTTTATGCGGACATAAAGTGGTCTACCCGTTTCCCCGATTTCCCTCGCCGCATGCATTACATGAGATCAAGTATATTATACCTA